AATTGACATGAACTATCACAGATAACATTCAAAGATTTAACTCCCTGGGAGAGATATGGTGGGGTTTTTCAGTAAAGGATATTTTAGAGGATTAGAAAGATTGTTCAGTTGATAAAGTTCCGGCTATGCAAACTTGAGGAACTGAATCATATACTCAGCACCCAACTCAAAAATGCTTGGTATAGAGTACATACCCAAAGTCCCAGTAGATCAAGATAGGAGGATCCCTGGGGCTTGCTAGCCAGACAGTCTAAATGAATTGATGAGCTCTGGATTCACCAAGAGCCCTTATCCCACAAAATAAGATAGAGTGATTGCCCAAGACGCCTAGTGTTGACCTCTGGCCTCCATGTGTACATACATGTTCACATGCACCTATGCACATGCGTGTATATACACATACACACACACACACACACACACACACACACTCACACAGGATTAGAGGGGCTTATAGGCTGTGGTCTAGCTAATTCAACAATGACTGTCCACCAATGAAAAGTTCAAGAATCTAGTAGTGTTCAGTCCACAAGGCTGGATGTCTCATCTGGTCTTAAGTATATGCCAGAGTCTCAAAGAGGCAGGCTCTAATGCCAGTGAAGGAGTGGACACGCCAACAAATACAAGCAGGCAAAGAGAGCATGTCCTTCTTCCATGCCCTTTATAAATGCTGCCCCAGAAGGTGTGACCCAGATGAAAACTGTATCTTACCCGCTAAAATATCTGGATTAAAAATTTGCTTTTCCCACTTCAAATGATTTGATTAAGCAAAATCCTTCATGGGTATACCCAGCCCTTTGTGGTCCAAATGTAGTCAAGCTGACAGCCAAGAAAGGCCGTCACATCCCCCAAAGCCCCAACCTACAAATACCATCAACATATGAATTCCCAACAGTTTGGGACACATGCAAACCTTAGCTGTAAGATGAAGTGCAGAAAAGAGGTGAGGGTATAGGCTTCCAAGTGCAGACTCCACAGAAGTGGCTGTATTTTTAAGTGCTGCTTAAAAGTTCCCTTTTCATCAAATGCCGTTTGAGAAAGCAGAAAAGGGACATGCTCACCTGTGAAGGAAAATACACAGTGCCTATCTATATAAGGTGCTACACTGTCAGATGTGTCCTTAGGTGATGACAAGCAATTTAAGGGAAGGCTATAAAGGTGTTTTAGAAGTCTCCCAGTGCTGAGATGTATATGTATATTTGGGGGCTGGGGGGCATAGGTACAGCAGTGTAGTGACATCAGAGACATGTCCCTCCTTTACGGTCTCTAAAAATGTTTGGATTCTGGGGAACGCACAGCCAGCTGTCATAGAGAAGGTGAAGAGCGAGCGGCATGTCCAGGTGAGAGATGAAAGAGGGAACTTTGTTCTCACACACCCACACACATCCCATCCTCCCACGAACGACCGCATCTTATCCCGAGAACCTGGATCACCTCCAACACGTTCCTGTGGAGACCAAGTAGAGGGATCCTCGTACCAGAGGGGCACCTGCTCTGGGTGGAGCCTCCGAGACTGAGACTGTCTCCACTGTGAGGAGGGGACAATATCTGAGTTCCCTGCAGCCTGCTCCCCTCAGCCCCCCCTGCATGCCTGCCTCTCAGCACCTCCCAGCCGCAGAGGAGGGGCTGTGTCCCTGCTGCTGGAGTTAATTACAGTAATTATACCTGCTCCTTCTTCAGCTCTGGTTCCCTTTGTTCCCAGTTTCCTGCCCGTTCATTTGCAAATCTAATCGCTCTGTGGATTGATTTTGTTGGTTTTTTTTTTTTTTATCATGGGATGGAGAGACAAAGATAGGAAGCAAAAACTGGGGGGTAAGAAAAGACGGACTTGGGAGTGGGCTGGAAGGAGTATGAAGGAGACAGCCCAAGGGAACAGATGGGAGCCTGGAAGACTCAGGTGACTGGAAACACAAAACACCTACCTCTGCCACCAGCCAAGGCCTGAGAGGTGGAGACCACAGGAAGGGACATCTGAACCTTCCACTTAGTTTCCAGCTTCTCCCAACACAAGACAAGGATGGGGTTAAGGACATAACCGAAAACATGGCACTTAAGAAAATAGCCAGTGACTAGGGTATAGTTAAGTGGCAGAGTGGGTCATTGCAAAGCATGCAGGAGGCCCTAGACCTCATCTCCAGAAGAAAAGAAGCAAGGAAGAAAACAGGAAGATAGAATTCTGTTTGCTTGCTCTCCCTCCTAAAGTCAACCAGGATTTCGTGAAAACCTATCCCCCCAAAAGCGTCCTCATTCTAAATGGGGCTCTCCTGAATCTAGGGAAAAAAAGAGCATCCTTATCCTTTATATACTGACAAAAGAAGCAGCTGAACAGACCCGCTTTGCTTCCGGGGTTGTCGCCACCCAATCCTATGCTTTCATCCTCTGATCACACTTCCTCTGGCTATTCACAAAAGTACAGGTTTCTTAGTTGCTGTAGCATGTCTGAATGTCCCCTTGTTATGTAAAGTCCATCAAGCAAGCACATAACCTTTTTCCCTGTCTCCTTTGTTACAGGTACCTCAGTGTTGCAGGTGAGGAATTTGACACTAACCTGAAGCCAGCCTGGGAAAACTGCAAAGACCTGGCTCAAACAATCCTGGCGGGCACCTTGTTCCCTTGATCTCACCAGGGATTCAGGGATCCCTGAGACTTTGGCTCACCCAGAATGCCTGACTCTGGTATCAGGAAAGTGAGAGGGGAGGCAGAGATTTGAACATAGAGCAAGAGGGATGCAGCTATTCATCCAAGACATGAGCGGTGGGTGTCATCTCCTGCTCAATCCCATCCTGGAGATCTTGAAATGAACCTGGTCCAGGACTTCACAGACATGCTCTAACAGTGCTCTGAGATTTCTTGAAGATCCCCCAGGGAACACAGGTGTGATGATGCTCACCTTGAATCCCAGCACTCAGGAGGATCTCCATGAGTTCAAGGCCTGCCTCTTCTATATACCAAGTTCCTGGACTGTATAGTAACACTGAGGCCTCATCTCAAAAGACAAACACCAACAAAAATGGGGCCCTCCTGGGGAAGAAGATGGGCAGAAACAAATGAGCAGACATCCTACACACATATACTAAGATCCCACCAATGGTCTTTACTGGGTTCTAAATGTTTGCTTTAAAAGCAATACAACTTAAAAAAAAAGGGGGGGGGGAGCCCCGTATCAAATATTAGGAAACAATTGATTTGCTCCAAATCTGTCAGGGGAAACTGAGGCTCAAACAGTTCTAATGGCCTTTTGTTCCATACCATACAACATTCAGACCCCAGGTCTCTTGTCTTCCAGGTGAGGGAGATTTCCACTACCCAGTACTGCTGGTCAGGGTGCCAGAGGGCACCAAGGGAGAGCTAAAGTTTCTGATTGTTCCCGGGGCCTGAAGGAAGGGAGGGCAATGTGACCAATGACATCATCTTCCCAGAAGTTCTTCGAGGAGATGGTGTGACAGTTTCTAAAACTGGCTGCTGCTCTACTCCAGTATGGTATTTCTAGCACCTGGCCACCACCATGACTCCCACCCCACTAAGAGGCAGAACTATTTTTTGAAACATGAAATGACTATGTGGCTGCCATGGAGAGTAAATATGGCAGACATGATGGTCCTGGCTGTTGGCAACTCTGCTATTATTCAGACTCTTTCCCTGCACATCCAATTAATTCACAGAAAAGGTCACAGTTCAGGACAGTTTGGAAGCAGAGGTGGGAAATAGGTGTGGGTGTCACGATCAGCCTACAGATCAACTCTTCCAGATGACAATTCCCCACATAGCATTCAGCCAATGTTTACAGAGTACCTACCATGAGTCAGAGTCAGAACAGAGTCCCCGCCCCAGAGAAGCACAGTATAATTGGGGAGGCAGACACATCTAGATTCAGAAGTAATTATCATGCAATAAGTTAAGTTGATGTTAAAAATAAAAGTTTGGGGAGTGTTGGAAACAAGGGTATCAGCCTCCAATGTTGAGCATCCTGGAATGGAGAAGGTGAAAAGATTTCCCAGGCTGTGGTTTTCAGTTCTCAGAATGCAAATCTTTTGGTCCAAGTCCAACCCTAAGAATAAAAAGATTGCCATACAACCCTTGCTTAGAAACAATCAAGGGTTTAAGAAATGCCTTTGACTCTTTTTGGTTGAAGGGGCAGTGAAACAGGGTCTGACTCTGTATCACTTGGACTCCTGGTAGTCCTCCTGCCTCCTCCCGCCTCCTCCCACCTCCTCCTGCCAAGTGTTGGCGTTACAGATGTGAGCCACCATGTACAGTTTCATTTCACATTTTATAGACAAGAGTTTTAGTAATCCCCCATAATCCATTCTGCAGACAATAGCATTCCGGTGTGTGTGTGTGTGTGTGTGAGAGAGAGAGAGAGAGACGGGACGGGGGGGGGGAGACAGAGAGAGACACAGAGAGACAGAGAGACAGAGAGAGACAGAGAAACAACTTACTGGAGTCAGTTTTTTTCTCTAACTACATGGGTGCTCTGGATCAAACTCAGGTCCTCCAACCTAGTGGTAAGACCCTTTTCCCACTGAGTGATCTTAATAACCAACACTTAGCCGGGCGTTGGTGGCGCACACCTTTAATCCCAGCACTCGGGAGGCAGAGGCAGGCAGATCTCTGTGAGTTCAAGGCCAGGCTGGACCGACAACCTCCAAAACAGAGAAACCCTGTCTTGTAAAACCAAAAAAAAATAACCAACACTTGAGCATCCTTACTGGGCTCTATGGCCACCTGAAATACCAATTGTGCTTCTCTCCTCTACCTCCTTGACCAAGCCATGGCCAAGTTCTAGATAGTGCATATCTAATAAACATGAGACTTTTGCATTATATCTTTAAAAGAGAAAATATGTCATTTCTTCATCCATTCTGGCTGGAATAAGACATGGTATGGAAGTATTCTAGATAGTATAAGTAAAAGAAGCACCTTAGAAATAGTTGGTTCTGGGTCTCTTTACCTTAGAATCCCATGCCCACGTAAGAGACAAAAGGAAAACTCTAGTCTTCTTCAAGGTGTTAATATTGTATTAGTCTGAATTCTGCACAGGAGCAAAAGGAAATGGCAATATATATTCATTCAGTCAAAACTGGATGTCCCAAGATCTGTACTTGGCAAATTGAAAAGCCGATGCTGTACTTCTGGTGCAAGCCTCAAAGCTAGGAACCTGGGGAGCCAATGGCAGCAGCTTCAGCTCAACTCCCAAAGCCTAGAACTGGGAGAAATGATGGCTTAATTTATCCAGTAAAAGGCAGAGCTTGAGTCCACAGAGCAGCAGTGTCTCAGCTTGAAGAAGGAGTGCTTCCTCTTACCTGGCCTTCTGTAGACATGCTCACAGGGCATCAGATGAAGCCTGTCCACATCAGAGAGGACTATCTGCAAATTCAAATCATAATGTTATCCAGAAATACTCTTACAGACACAGGTAGCCAAAAAAATAATAATAAAATACTTGATCACTCCATGGCCCAGTGATGTCAAAAAATTAACCATCATGAAATCTCAGGAATCAAGTCAACTCCTGACCAAAAAAATCATCCACTAGCTTAAACTTCTTTTCCACTTGTCTCATGATTTTTTTTTAATTTTCATTCATTTTACACCAACAACCGTTCCTCCTCCTTTCCCTCCTCCCACTCTCTCCCACCTCTCCCCACCCCAACCTACCCCTTATCCACTCCTAGGAAAGGGTAAGGCCTCCTATGGGGAGTCAACAAAGCCTGGCACATTAAGTAGAGGCAGGACCAAGCCCCTCCCCCCATCAAGGCTGAGTAAGGGGTCCTACCATGTGGTAGCTTAAACTTTTAATTTCTTATTTCCATGAAGATCCCATCCCATGCTCCCATACACATACGTCTTCACTTCACATACACTATGGAAGCACCCAGAATAGGCACTCAAAAATGTCTTGAGGGGTTTGTTATTAGGTAAGATCAGTGACCTGGTTCCTCACTGTTATTTAGTGAATCACAGTTATGAGAGATTGAGTTTTAAACAGGGTTCTGAAGACACTGAATGTACCTGATGCTGTATCTGGAGATACGAAAAACAGTATATTGTTAGAGGTCTACTTAATGATTTGGGAAAAGTTTTGCATTTTTTTCTCTCTTAAATGGCTTTGTCAAATACACAATACAGAAGCCACAGAATTCACCTTATCTGTATTAGCCAATCCTGGGATTTTCACAAGCAGGAAACGTCCTTTTGTAGTACGTGACTGAAAATGCTATTCTTCTCAACGCTACTAGGAAGTGTCTGTGAAACACAAGGGAGCTGTATGTGCTATAGCCAAGAGGAGAGGTTGAACCAGCCTTATCCTGAGAATGCTCTGGAAGGATGCCACCCAGGGAAACAAAGGAAAGGCTCCACAGAAAGACAAACTGGAGAAGAACTCAGTTTATTAAAAGAAAAGGGAGAGAAGAGAAGCATGAGAAGGAGTTTCGCCCCAGTGGGACTTCTCTCTGAATCGCCATCGGGAAGACCTAGTGCACAGAGCCACAGACACAGAATGCCTGCATGTGAACGCTTTCATGGCAGAGTGGTTCCAGGGAACTCACTTGCCATCTTACATGACATGTTAGTTGTGTCTACAGAGGAGGAAGAGCATGTTTTTAACCCATTCATTTCTGAGGCACAATGTGCCAAATTTCCATTCCCTCAAATATGTTGCCCTTTTATTCTCTCACCACCACTTGTGAGGATTGGCTTGGCTAGGTGATGGCACCTCAGTATCCAACCAAACACTTCCCTTGGTGGTGCTGAGAGTGTATTTTGTTGGAGTAGTTAACATTCATGACCAAGTGACTCTAGTGAAAAAACGTCCTTGATAGTACAGGTGAGGCTCGTCCACTCATTAGAAAACTGGTAAAAGCAAAACCAACATTCCTCTAAGAACTTCTTCCCAGAGTGTAGCAGCACCTTCTAGCTGACAGTTTTCTAACCTTCCAGCTTACCTAAAATTTTGTGGCTTGCTTAGCCATGTGTAACTAGTGCTTGGAGATACAATAGATAGATAGAGGTAAGTGGTGTGTGTGTGTGTGTGTGTGTGTGTGTGTGTGTGTGTGTGTGTGCATGCCTTTGTGTGCACATGTGTATGTGTGTATTCAGCCCTGATACCTGAAAGTTCTATCTCCATTCTTTATACCAGTTGCAATCCAAAATATTGAAAAGAAAATTCTGTAAAAATTCCACATCAAGACAAATCAAAATTTTCACATTCTGAGAACCTTGCTGAATCCAAACAAATGAAATGATTTGTAGGCCTAGCCTGCTGCTCCCTCCCATCATTCCAGCTTCTTCCCAACATTCATTGTTTGAACATTGATCACCTCTCATTTTATTTGTATACTGTGCATTTAAGGGATGGCATAGTTAAGATCCTGAACATGTACATGACTGTCTTTCCTGCCATTAGCCCCTAAATAAGACAGGACAGGAAAATATTTATGTAGCAATTATATCATAATAAATATTATGAAATATTTAGAGATGACAAAAATATACAGAGAGGTGTGTTAGGGGCTATAGGTAAATACTCTGCCATTTTATATAAGGAACTTGGACAGCTGTGAATGTTTGTGTCTTAGGAAAGTGTGTCTTGAATGTGTCCTACAGATACTAAGGAAATTGTGTGTATGTGTATGTGTACACATATGAATGATGCAGCCACAGGCAGCAGTGATGTCAGAGATATCTATATCCTGCTGGCTCTGTTTCTCTCAAAGAGCCCTGACTAATGCTCCATTCAAGCAGATCAGGAAGTAGCATACAGGAATTCTACACTCAATCTATCCTAAAGTAGGAGATGTTGGCACACTTAGTATCATGGAGGAGGTTGTAGAGGAAGTCTTTGTGCAGTGATAAAGAACCTTGGCCCAAAACAAGAAGTAGAGAGGATTTTTCAGAAATTATTGATTGCCTGAGGTGGAAGTAAAGGGAGAATAAATCAATGATTGAAGATGTATTTGGAGCCTTAGGGAGAAAAAGGGGTGACGCTTCCTATTCATGGCTATTTGTCACCTCATGGCCTCAAAGGAGCTTCCTCTGTTATTCCTGGCTACTCATGAAGGGTTAGTGCTTCCAAATTGTTTCAACTTCCTCTATCAATTGACCAAACCCCATGCCGCACTGAAGTAAATGCCTCAATGACAGAAGGTTCTCAAAACTGAAATTTTTCATGTCCTTTCAAAGTGTGGTGTGACTTGAGACTCAATGCTTCAATTGATAAAAATCTTTTCATCAGAAATGCTAACTTGAAACATCAAATATTCAGAACCAGAACATGCTGAAAATTATCTAAGGTGGGGATATTCTTGGTACTGTTCTTTGGACTGCTGTCAATGACCTTGACAGTGAAGCATCTATTCCAGAAAATGTCAAAAGCAGAAAGATGTATTTAGATGATGCCATATGAGTTCACTGTGCATATTCACTGAGTGGATTTGATTTGACTGCTACAGCAAAACCAATGAACTTGAACTTCAGTGTTTTTTGCATGGGAAAAACCATGACTGTATGCAACCATTGCTCTCTCCTTAGGCAACATTCAAAACCCAAAAGTAAACTCTGAAAGAAAATCTGAAAAATTTCTACAGCAAAAGAAGATAAATGTTAGCTAGGATCAATACAGTAAAACTCAAAATCAAATAAGCAAATCTAAACATCACCTAAAGCCCACTGTGAGGTCATCCTCAGTAATGTCTGGGAAGGTGAAGCTCACGAGATGAGAGAAAATGTAGGGTAACCTTGCACTCTGCATAACCATTCCAATCTGTTTTCAAATAAGTACCCATACCACAAAGGTCACCCTTGTTTAACTCATTTACACAGGTAGATTTTAATACACTCAAAATTCAGACCTGAGCAGTTTGTCTGAAAACCCTGAGCTGACCTAGATCTTTTTATTTCAATCATTTCACAGTACTATTATTAAAATAATGTGAATTTCTGGATAGAACCACTCAAATGTGGTATGAACACAAAACTTCTTCAAGGATTTGATGAGATACAGCACCAGCAGCAAAGAACAGTCAAAACATTTTTGTGCCACAGAATTCCAAAATGGCAGCCAAGAAAAGAAATGGAATTTTCTAGCATAATCCAGAATAGCTCCTTGAGTCTCTCTCAAGAAAACCAGCTTGTAAGAAAGTAACTGAGTTTCCGGATTTCTGAGAATTCTCACAATGTCTAATAACTTAGAGAGATGACCTAAGACAGTGATGGACATATCTAGAAAATACAATCCCTGAAGAGGGATCAGAAGCAAGAGGAGGCTGCTATAGAGTATTATTTTAAGGTGTGTTACATTTGTTCATGCTGTGGAACATTTGTTTAATGATGCAAAGATATATTGTATCGTTTTGTGTTTCATTTGTTTAACTCTGTGAAGCTGTGTTATTTTGCCTGTCTAAAATACCTGATTGGTGTAATAAAGAGCTGGACAGACAATGGCTAGGCAGGAAAAAGGATGGGTGGAGCTGGCATGAAGAAAGAATAGATAGAAGGAGAAAAAGAGAGGATCTAGGAACAAGAGAAGGAGGAGGACTCTAGGGGAAAACCGCCCAGCTACCTAGCAAGCCACAGAGAAAGAAATAAATAAAGGTATACAGAAATGAGAAAGATAAAAGCCCAGAGGCAAAAGATAAACAGGATAATTTAAGTTAAGAAAAGCTACCTAGAAATAAGCCAAGCTAAGGACAGGCATTCCTAAAAAGAAGTAAGTCTCCATGTGATTATTTGGGAGCTGGGTATTAACCCCACCAAAAGAAAAGAGAATCATAAAACAACCAACAACAAGAGACATCCATGCTTGCACATTTCCAGGTAGAAATACAGCAAAAATGTTATAAGCCCCATCTGACTATCTTAAGTTTTAAGAAAACAACAGAACTAATTCCCTCATGGGTTTTATACTCTAGAACTTAGTAAATATATTTTCAAAACCAATAGGTAAAAGATCATAAAACAATAAAGTAGAATGGTAAGGAACTTAGCAGCAATAAAGGAACAAATTATAGGTGAAAATTAACTTACTGCCGTTCTAATAAGTAAATTAAAAACATCTGAATGAAAATACAATAGACCCTGATGAAAAATAGACAGCATTAGGGGAAAGCCTGATGTAATCACAGTGAATGGAAACAAAATAAGGCAGAAATTAAGGCAATTAGACATGGGATGATAGGTACAAAGGACAAAGATTGCCAAACATAAGGATAATTGATTCCCCGAAGTTTAAAAAAGGATCACATATTCTGAAATATAATATAGAAAAATCCTTTACTACAATAAAGAGGAAAAAATCAAAGTGCTTCAACAAATAAACTATGAAGAGCAAGCATCAGAATATATAGTCTAAGGAGAAAGAAATTAAAGGAATACAAACAGGAAGAGAAGTCAAACTACTATTCCTGGATGATACCATACATAAAAAACCCCAAAATTTCTACCAAAAAATTTTAGAAATGATCAGCAATTTCAGGAAACTGGCTGAAAAAGCAACAGTGTTTCTATACACTAACAACAAATATGAGAGAGAGAGAGAAAGAGAGAGAGAGAAAGAGAGAGAGAGAAAGAGAGAGAGAGAGAGAGAGAGAGAGAGAGAGAGAGAGAGAGAGAGAGAGAGATCATGGACTACTCCATCCACAATAGCCTCAAAGAAAATAAAATATCTAGGAATAAATCTAACCAAGGAGGTGAAAGATTTCTACAATGAGAACTTTAAATCTCTGAAGAAACATATTGAGAAAGACAGCAGAAAAGTGAAAGACAGCCCATGCTTGTAAGTTAGCAGAATGAATGTTGTGAAAGTGACCATTCTACAAAAGTTACTTATAGATTCAATGCAATCCCAATCAAAATCCCCATCTCATCCTTCACAAAAGTAGAAGATAAGCTATATTAAAATTCATTTGGAATCACAAAAGACCCAAGATAGCCAAAGCAAACCAAAGCAAAATTAACAACACCAGAAAGAATACCATTCCAAACTTCAAGACCAATGGAACAAAATAGATGACCTAAACATGAGTACATATAGCCACAGTCATTTAATACTTGACAAAGATGCCAAAACACACACTGGAGAAAAAGCACTGTCCTCAACAAATGGTTCTGGGGTAAGCGATGTCTACATGGAAAAGAATGAAATAAGACTGTATCACATTGTACCACAACAAACTTCAAATGGATCTAAGACCTAAGTGTGAAACCTGAAACAGTTAAACTGCTACAAAGCTTAGGCAGTAACCTACATGATCCAGGAGTCAGAAAAGACTTTCTGAGTAGGACTCCATTTGGCCAGGAAATAAGACCAACAATTGACAAGTAAGACCTCATAACATTTAAAACTTTTGATATTTATGACATTAAAAAAGCATCATAAAGGGATTTTGTTTAGTTTTGTTTTTTAGAGACAGGGTTTCTTTGTGTAACCCTGGCTGTCCTTTGCTGTGTAGACCAGGGTAGCCTTGAACTCACACAGATCCTCCTGCCCCTGACTCCCGACTACCTGGGCCAGAAGAGACCAGAAGAGGGAGTCAGATCAGGGGGAGCTGGAGTTAGAGGTGGTTATGAGCCACATAATGTGGGTGCTGGGAACTGAACTTGGGTCCTCTCTAAGCATTCATAACCATTCACTGAGCCATCTCTCCAATCCACAAAAATAAAGTTTTACATTAGATCTTATCCCAAGCCTCCAGTTTCTGCACCAAAAAAAGTAACTAGGAGGACCTTTCGTTTTATGGGAACCATCATGCTGGGAGCCCTTCTGTCTGCTCCCAGCTGTGCCTTAACCAGCCCAGTTCAGACCCTTTCAGTTGCAGAGTGCATGTTGACAAGGTATCTTTGTTTGTTTGACTGTTTTGAGACTGGGTATCACGGGTTAGGCCTGGCTGTCCTGAAACTCACCTTGATCTCCCTGTCTCAGCCTCCAGAGCCCTAGGGTGAAAGGCAGCCATGTGTCACCACGCCCACAGGCAGACCTGTTTCAATGGCAACAAAGAGCAGTTGAAGTCTTTTCCTTCTGCATGGCTGAAGTACTAAACCCCCATCTCATTACAAGGAGAAAAGAATGACAGCATACCTGACCTTGAGAGTGGGACGCTGCAAGTTGGGCTGCCCTCCCGTGCTGGGTGCAGAGACAAGATCCAGAGTGTGCCTCTCAGATGAGATGCGCCGGCCTCTTAAATGGACCTGCGTGGCCTCCTGCTTTTTGCTCAAAAGTGTGGAAAGGAGCCAAACATAGTATAGTATAGTGACTAGGAAAGGACAAGGCACCAAATGGCGCAGGTTCCCATCCCATTTGTCTCTACTTAGTGACTTTGGGCAATTTCCATTTGTCTATGCTTCCTTATCCACTCCTGAACAACAAGGCTGGTAATAGCACCTGACCTCACCCAGCCATTGGGTGACTGAAAGAAAAGCAGCTGGCGTAAGTAATGTAAATTCTTTTAACTGTTAATTAGGACTTCACACTTGGAGTCATTTGGTCCTGCGTCCCTTGGAACCTCAGACATGACTTTCCAGCTACGAGACTGAATCTTTTTCTCTCCCCACAGTTGTGAACAACCGCCACCCACTGGGCAGAGAAAGGGCGCCACCTCTTGGGGAGATTCAACTCTAGGGTCAGTACAATCTCCTGGGCCTTTGGCCAGAGGCCTTGAAAATCAACAGGCAACTAAATCATAGAAACATGTCTCTGCTCCCCCGTTGGACTGAAGACGATCCTTGCCCCTACAGCCATGTTTGGATGCACAAAAACTAACTAAATGCTGTACTGAATTTGCCATATTTTTAAAAAGTCATTTGAAAAGAAAAAGAGAGGGTGAAAGTTTAGAATGGGAATCCACAGTGGATATTATCAGACCTGTCTAAAGTGGGGAATCACTAGACTTCACTGCCCCCACCCCTGACACTGACCCCAGATTCCTTCAGCTATGTTCAACTAGGGGGAAAAAACAATAAAGTCATTCTTTGGTGCTAGAAATAGAGCAGTAGACGTTGTGTCTAAAAGGCAAGATGTAATTAGGGATTACATAATTTGACCCTTAATAACATAAAAGCCTATGGTTTGGCTTTCACACACTCCTGTGACTCCTTTTTTAAAGTATATTATAGCAGAAGTAAAGGCAGCAGCAACTTTGGGTCATAGAATCAGTCACGTAGTAACTATTCAGACCCCATCCCCACAGCATTGATCATCTTGGGACAATACCAGAAAGGTATGAACCAGAAAGGCCATACAGGCAGAAACACATGAGATGACAACACAGGAACCCCAAGTTAAACCCAAGATCCCCTGTCTGAATGCTTCATAACTTTAGAGGAGTCTGGAAAGATTATTTGGTCTTAGTTTTTCAACTGCATAATGAGGATGATGAAAATAATGCCCGCCAACCCACCTGCCAAAGCTGGCCTGAGGCCACCTGAGATGCAGGGTTAGAGACTAATGTCCATCAAATGAGTGTGTTCTTGGATGGTCAAGCACTTCACACTTGTATCCTCAATCCCATGAGAAATGTACTGCTATCCATAGCCTGCTAGCAAGCACATTTATAGAAATACATTTCCCAATGGCTCCCATAGCTCATAAGTTACGGTAGATAAGACTCAAATATAGGCACACTTATATTTCCAGTGTAACATTTTAGAAATGAGAAAAGTACCAGTCATGAGCAATGGCTCACACCTGTTATTTCATCACTTGGAGACAGAAGCAGGAGAGTCACTGCAAGTTTGAGGTTGGTCTGGGATAATCCCAGCACTTGGGAGGCAGAGGCAGGCGGATCTCTGTGAGTTCGAGGCCAGCTTAGTCTAGAAAGCAAATTCCAGGACAGCCTCCAAAACAATACAGAGAAACCCTGTCTCTAGAAAAAAAGGAGTACTAGAGCAGCTGAAATGGGTCAAGTCATTGCCAACAAGTTTGATGACTGAAATAGGACCAACCTTCAAGGTCTGAGCCTGGGAAAGAAGAAAGAAGGCCATGGGAGCTAGAGCAGAATGAACCGAGCAAAGGACAGCAGACCGTGAGGTTGGGAAGAAACCCAGGAGGCACCTGTGGAGCCTAAGGCCACAAAAAGATAGGGGTTGAAAATCTCAGAGGTGCTAGGCGTTGATGGTGCACACCTTTACTCCCAGCATTCAGGAGGCGGAGGCAAGCAGATCTCTGTGAGTTCGAGGCCAGCCTGGTCTACAGAGCCAATGCCAGGAAAGGCTCCAAAGCTACACAGAGAAATTCTGTCTTGAAAAACCAAAAGAGAAAGAAAGAAAGAGAGTGAGACAGAGAGAGAGAGAGAGAGAGAGAGAGAGAGAGAGAGAGAGAGAGAGAGAATCTCAAAGGTACCTAACAAGATGATCTTTCTTGTTTTTCAGAAGATAATCCCACATTACGACTGACTAATGTTAATCTACCTTACATAGACATCCATATGACACAGTCAAATATGTGTAGCTTACCTATATTCTATTGTTTAGAGCAAATATTAAATAATTTTCAAACCTTGTCCTGGTTTGAGTGTGTCCAAATATACAAAACAGAGTACCTAAGTAGCTTTAAAGACCATGTCTGTGGAGAGACTTCATGTGACAGTGGAATTGTTTCGATGCAAGAGAGTTACCATCTATCCTGAAGACAGAGTAAAGGATGGATACAGAAGAGTCATCTGAAAATTAGGGGTAGCACTGTGGAGCTTTGAATGGGAATGGCCACCATGGGCTTATATGCCTTGTTGGAGAACACATGTCATAGAGGTGGGCTTTGAAGTTTTAAGCTCTCTCCCTTTTTCTCTCTCCATCTCTGTGTGTGTGTCTGTCTCTGTCTCTCTGTCTCTGTCTCTCTCTGTCTCTCTCTCTGTGTCTGTCTCTCTCTCTCTCTGTCTCTGTCTCTCTCTCTGCCTCTCTCTCTGTCTCTGTCTCTCTGTCTCTGTCTGTCTCTCTGTCTGTCTCTCCCTCTCCCTCTCTCTCCCTCTCCCTCTCTCTGTCTGTCTGTCTCTCTCTGTCTCTCTCTCTGTCTCTGTCTCTCTCTGTCTCTGTCTCTCTCTGTCTCTGTCTCTCTCTGCCTCTGTCTCTGTCTCTGTCTCTGTCTGTCTCTCTGTCTGTCTCTCCCTCTCCCTCTCTCTCTCTCTGTCTCTGTCTCTGTCTCTGTCTCTCTGTCTCTGTCTCTCTCCCTCTCCCTCTCTCTCTGTCTGTCTCTCTCTCTCTGTCTCTCTCTCCCTCTCTCTCTCTGTCTGTCTCTCCCTCTCCCTCTCTCTCTCTCTCTGTCTGTCTCTCTCTCTGTCTCTCTCTCTCTCCCTCTCTCTCTCTCTGTCTGTCTCTCTCTCTCTCTCCTCTCTCTCTGACTTCTGCCTGCAGGTCAGGATGTAGCTCTCAGCTACTTCTCTGGCATCATGCCCGTCTGTCACCTGCTATGCTCCCCGCCTTGATGAAATGGACTCATTAACCCTCTGGAACTGTAAGCAAGCCCCCAGTTAAATGCTTTCTTCTATATGTTGCCTTGGCCATGGTGTCTCTTCACAGCAATAGAACAGTAACTAAGACAAGCATCTTCCAGTAAATCCTGAGAAAGGCAGTAGTTTGTCACATTACCTTCCAGTTTATTTCTTTGGGGCTATCTCTTAGTGTTGATGTAGTCAAAAATATTAAAGTGTATATTCAATGCCTGAAGAAAAGATTAGAATGAATATTCAATGTCTTCAAAATGTTTAGTATATATAAATATCATTCCATGATAACTTTTACTGATGTTTTTATTTTATGTACATAGGTGTTTTTTCCTGCATGTGTCTCTGTGCACTGTGTGCATGTGTGCCCCTGAAAACCAAAACAAGGCATCAAATCCTCTGGAACTGGAGTTGCAGAGGGTTATGAGCTGCTGTGTAGGTGCTGGGAATGGAGCAACAAGCGTTCTCAAGGTCTCAGCTATCTCTCCAGACTCCCTGACAATTTTTAATTGTGATAAAACATGCATAACATCTAACCATTTAAGAGTACAGTTCAATGACATTCGGGTCATTCACACTGCTTTGTAACCATCACCATATCCATCTACAACAGTCTCGTCTCTTGAAAAACTGAATTTCTGTACCTATTAAACTAGAACTCCACACTTCCCTTTCACCCCTTCTCTGGCATCCTACGTTTTGTCTCCATGATTTTGCCTACTCTAGTACCTCAACTAAATGGAACCATACAGCACTCTTCTGTGTGAGACGGGCTTATTTCACTAAGTATCACATCTTTAAGACTCACCTACATTGATGTATGTGTCAGCATTTCCTTCCTCTGAATGAGTAAGTGCATTTTCATTTTATAAATCAGATACTTTTCATTCATTCATTGGTCAATGGATATTTGAGTCACTTCTACATCTAGCTATTGTGAGAAACATGGCAGCAAATGTCAGGGAGCATATAATATCTGTTAATTTCCTTGTTCTCAGATATCTAGCATATCTTCAGAAATGAGGTATTACTATATCACATGGCAATCCTATTTTTAATTGCTTTCTAGGCTGCCTTACTGTTTCCCGTAGTCACTGAACCATTTTACATTTTTACCAGCATTGTACCAAGAGTTCAGTTTCTCCACATCCTCACTAATACATGTATATTTCTGTGGCAGAGGTTAACAGTAGCCATCCTAAAGTGAGAGGTGATATTCCCTTATGCGTTTGATACCATTTTCCCATAGTTGATAATGCTAGGCATCTTTTCACTTGTGCATCTCTGGAAAAGCATCAATGTGCATCCTTTGCCCGTGTTTCCATTAGGTTGTTCATCTCTGCTGTTGCTGAGTTGTGTGAATTCTTTGTATTCTGAATGTTAACTTCTCATCAGATATGTGGCTTCCAAACAGGGCTCCATTCCATGTTTTTCTTTTTCATGATGTCATCAATGCCCTTTGAGACTATCAATGTGTCTATTTTTTTCTGATGTCGTCCATGTTTTGAGGTAACCTGTATTCTTTTAATTCCTCTTCGTGCTATTCTGAAAGATGGCTATGATTAATCAAGTGTGAAAACTGAGAGGAGGTGGCTGGGCGACACAAAAGAATGTCAGGGAGTGGAGACTAAAGTGGCTGACAATAGAAATAGTGAAATTTGGTAGATAAAGGCATTTTCGGGTAAGTTTTAGAGATATATTTTAAATATAAACTAAGCAGTATAAACCTGGTTGGGCGGGTATTATATGCAATGAAAAAGAAAGAACAAAGAATGTCTTCTACTTTTGTGGTCTAAATTAAGTGGATGAAAATTCCAACATGAAATGATAAAATCTCTGGGAGAGAC